AATCCCCCTTGAGTGTAAGAAGAGGGAGAAGACAGCATGTCTCAAGCTCCCAAACCCTTTTGCTGTGAAGAAGAAGGTGCAAGGCAACTCCCACTCCACCTGGTCCAGTCCGATCGGCCTTCAGCACGCGTACGTGGGAAGGAAAACCTCCCACAGCTCGGTCGCATTCGCCCCCTAGCTGATCGCACGCGGAAGAGGGCTTCGCCTCCGCCTCTTCCCCTTCTCTCGAGCTCTGTCTGGGACAGAACCACATGCAGAGAGCCGAGAGGCTCTCTCCGTCTCCCTCTCTCGCTCTGGTCGGGACGGAAAACACAAGGAGAGCCGAATGGCTTCCCCCTTCTCCCGCTCGTCTCTCTTAGAGGCGCACAAAGCACCGCCCAAATGAGCCAATCCCTCTTCTCACACGTGGAATGAGAGGTATTTAGGGCAAGATTTCATGTAAAATCTCAACCCTTGATTTGGCAATTTGATTTGAAATTTTGATTTAGCCCAATTGATAAATTAGGGCTGAAAATTGAGCCCAAATTGGACTTGACTCAAACCGATTTGAGTCGGTTTGGGTCCGATTGGTTCCGATCAAGCTAATTTCATGAAATTAAACTTGAATCGGCGTCGAAATGCGTCGAATTGGGCTCGACGACGCTCGACGGGGTTCGATTGGATTTGAATTGGATTGATTTGATTTAAATTAAATTAAATTGGGTTTAGTTTAATTAAATTGAGGCTTAATTCGGATTAATTTTGCCTCGATGATGATCAATTGAGTTGATCGAGCGCGATCGAGCCTTGTCGGGCTCAATCGGGGTCAAGTCGATGTGAAAATATTCGTCAACAGAAAGGTTGTTTTATGAGTGAGTGAGTGTGTGTGTGTGTGTGTGAGAGAGAGAGAAAGAGAGAAGCTTATATGTTACTTAAAAGCTTCTAATAAAGAGAGTGTTTACAAAAAGAGAAAAAAAAGGTAGCCTCTAAGAGAGAGAGAAAGGGTCCTTAAGGAGAGAAGCTTCATAGAGAGATTGAGAGGAATCTAAGTGTGAGAAAGAAGGGCTTTTAGGAGAGAGGCTTCTAAGAAAGTTAAAGAGAGGGTTCCAAGAGAATAACATTTATGAGGGTGACTTTTAAAAGAGATACAGAGAGGATTCTAAAAGAAAGAGTGAGAGAAATAATCTAAGTGTGAAAGAGTGAGAGAGAAAGAGGCTTCTACGAGAGAGAACAGGAGGATTTTTTTAGAGATCGTGGCTTTATGATAGTGAGAGACTGAGAAGAAAAGAGACACATTTATGATAGAGAGATTTTTATGAGTGATAGGCTTATAATAAAGAGGTTTCTGAAAGAGAGAGGCTTTAAGAGAAATGTTGAGGCTTTTAAAATGTGGTTGCTATGATAGACAGAGGGCTTTTAAAAGATATATAAAGAGAGTGCAAGCCTTCTAAGCAGGTGAGATGTTTTTAATTGAGAGAGAGAAAGAAACATTTAATTTACCTTGTTATGTGTATTGATGAGAAGATAGTGAAAAATATACTCAAGTGGTTTAAACATATATATCAAAGAGATAAAGATGAAAAGGTTAGTAGATAAAATTGTTGTAGAAGGATTAAGAAAATAAAAAGTACAAGAAAAAAAGAATATATCAATAGTAACTTCAATGATGCTCAGCAAACATGAATGAAGAATGAAAATTCATTAATGTAGCCCAAATAATTGTTATAAAGCTAAGATGATGATGATGATGATATGATCTTATTTGGTAAAGGTGATTACTTTGGATTGTAGTATCTTTCGATATTTAAATTTCTATAAGGAACTTGTTTGGAAGATGATAACATTAAAGCTTTATTCAATCATCTGCAAGAAGACTTGTACAAAAGATATTTAACCTCTCATGCAACACTCGACAAGGACAAATAGAGAAAGTCATAAAGAAAATAAGAAATTCACAAAAATCAACTTTGTTTTCTTTTTTTTTTAATTTATATATTAATTGAAATAAAAAATTTGTTTGATTTCTATTATGCATTTAAACATTTTCAAAAACTTAAAAAAAAAGAAAAAACATTACTATGGGAAAATAAATGCAATTCAACATAGATAATACAATTATGCTTCAATTTGGTTATTAAT